TATGTGGCTGCTATGGGTTTCTAGCAAGAACGTTTCTTACCTACGCAAAACCACAACGTGATATGCCAATTGCTATTTACCCTTCATAAGGACCCTTTTCATCGAATCCGTTCCGACTAAAGTGGGAGAGACTGGCACCCGCTAGCCACCTTATGCACCAAGTGCATGTCAATCGGTGGAACCTGTCTCACGTAAGAGTACGTGTAAGGTCGGTCCAGGCCGCTTCATCCCACAATACCGTCGAAACAAGATTGGACTAGTAACGGTAAGCATATTGAACAACATCAACGCCCACAACTACTTTGTGTTCTACTCGTGCAAAGAATCTACGCAATAGACCTAGCTCATGATGCCACTGTTGGGGAACGTAGCAGAAATTCAAAATTTTCCTACGTGTCACCAAGATCTATCTATGGAGAAACTAGCAACGAGGGGAAGGAGAGTGCATCTACATACCCTTGTAGATCGCTAAGCGGAAGCGTTCAAGTGAACGGGGTTGATGGAGTCGTACTCGTCGTGATTCAAATCACCGATGATCCTAGTGCCGAACGGACGGCACCTCCGCGTTCAACACACGTACAGCCCGGTGACGTCTCCCACGCCTTGATCCAGCAAGGAGAGAGGGAGAGGTTGAGGAAGACTCCATCCAACAGCAGCACAACGGCGTGGTGGTGGTGGAGGAGCGTGGCAATCCAGCAGGGCTTCGCCAAGCACCATGGGAGAGGAGGAGTAGGAAGAGAGGTAGGGCTGTGCCAGAACTTCGTGTATAGCTCCCATGCGCCTCCCCACTATATATAGGGGTGGAGGGGCTGGTTTCTTGCCCTCCAAGTCCATTGGGGCGTTGGCCAAGGTGGGAGGAAAGAAATCTCATTATTTCCTTCCCCACCGATTGTTACCCCCGCTTTTTAGGGATCTTGATCTTATCCCTTCGGGATATGATCTTATTCCTTCTAAGGGGGGATCTTGGTGCGCCTTGACCAGGGGTGTGGGGCCTTGCCCCCACTACCCACGTCCATGTGGGTCCCCCCATGCAGGTGGGCCCCACTCCGGAACCTTCTAGAACCTTCCCGGTACAATACCGAAAAATCCCGAACATTTTCCGGTGGCCAAAATAGGACTTCCCATATATAAATCTTTACCTCCGGACCATTTCGGAACTCCTCGTGACGTCCGGGATCTCATCCGGGACTCCGAACAACATTCGGTAACCACATACAAACTTCCTTTATAACCCTAGCGTCATCGAACCTTAAGTGTGTAGACCCTACGGGTTCGGGAGACATGTAGACATGACCGAGACGTTCTCCGGTCAATAACCAACAGCGGGATCTGGATACCCATGATGGCTCCCAAATGTTCCACGATGATCTCATCGGATGAACCACGATGTCAAGGACTTAATCAATCCCGTATTCAATTCCCTTTGTCTATCGGTATGTTACTTGCCCGAGATTCGATCGTCGGTATCCAATACCTTGTTCAATCTCGTTACCGGCAAGTCACTTTACTCGTTCCGTAACACATCATCCCGTGATCAACTCCTTGGTCACATTGCGCATATGATGATGTCCTACCGAGTGGGCCCAGAGATACCTCTCCGTTTACACGGAGTGACAAATCCCAGTCTCGATCCGCATAAAACAATAGATACTTTCGGAGATACCTGTAGTGCACCTTTATAGTCACCTAGTTACGTTGTGACGTTTGATACACCCAAAGCACTCCTACGGTATCCAGGAGTTACACGCTCTCATGGTCGAAGGAAGAGATACTTGACATTGGCAAAGCTCTAGCAAATGAACTACACGATCTTTTGTGCTAGTCTTAAGATTGGGTCTTGTCCATCACATCATTCTCCTAATGATGTGATCCCGTTATCAACGACATCCAATGTCCATAGCCAGGAAACCATGACTATCTGTTGATCACAACGAGCTAGTCAACTAGAGGCTCACTAGGGACATATTGTGGTCTATGTATTCACACATGTATTATGATTTCCGGATAATACAGTTATAGCATGAATAAAAGACAATTATCATGAACAAGGAAATATAATAATAACACTTTTATTATTGCCTCTAGGGCATATTTCCAACAGAATGATTGCCATTTCCGACTCTGACTCAGCATTGTTTGCGGCATGATTGTTGGCTGGCTGGTGGAACGCGTCCTCCGTGCGCTCAGAGCTCCCCGCAGTAGATGTCCCCGCGCCGCTGTTCACTGTAGTTGTAGGCCCTGTAATAGAAAAAACAGGTATGAGCGTAAGATTTTGCTTGAATAACATGTTTATTTGTAACGGATCACATCAACTTCAAGTGATTTGGCATGACATCATTCAAACAGCAAGCCATGAGTCTGCATGTGGACATGCATGGCAACTGTAGTTGTCCAGTCATGTCAGCTACAGTCCAACAAACATGGCAACTATTGTTTGCCAATGCACGACAAGCAGCTCCTTTTTAGTACGAAAACTTGGATTTTATATGCATGGCAGCTGCAGTCCTGCATACATGGCAAATACTGCTACCAATACATGGCAACCAGTGTGTTCTAGCATCAAAACTTTGCATTCTAGACTTGAGCTCACTAGGCAAATGCGATCAACCATTAGTGCTGCACACATGCTTCTAGCAGTTGGCAAATTTTCGAAGACAATATATGACTCATTGCACACAACCACTTGTTAGAGTTTTATGCTTGATTTTGTCCACCATCACTGATACAATCTTCTTTTTTCGTCACGTGCTATTTGCCACAAAAACAAATGTAGTGCTCTTTTTGTGGTCCAATTTCCTTACCTTGTTGTGCTACATGTGCCCATCTTGTGTGATCTGTCACACCAAATTGACGTGCTTTATCTGCAATCTGTGAAGCTTGCCATGAGACGTTTGCCGGGGTACCACCACCGTAATAACCTGTAAGCATCGTAGTAGTTGGTCAATACATGGCAACTGTAGTTTGTGCTGGCATGGCAACTACAGTTGTCCTGGCATGGCAACTGCAGTTGTTCCTCCATGGCAACTACATTTGTCTAGGGAGGGCAACAACAATTGTCCAGGGATGACAACTGCAATTATTCATTCATGGCAATTGCAGTTGTCCAGTCATGGCAACTGCAGTTGTCAACTATGCTCCTTCTGTTAATTCACCGTCCGCAACTTCACTTTTTATGCACTCACCTGTGTATGACGTCGATGGCAGGTACATGGGTGCTGCCTGCTGCCACGTGCTGCATGAAGGCTCTGCGTTTTCCCCCGACATAACTCGTGAGTCTTTTGCCAACCTTTGCAAGTTTATTTTTCATGTCCAGACCAGTATGTGTTCTTTTTCGTATGCGTTACCTTGATTAGCCATATTAGCTAGTTGAAGTTGCCTGCCCGTACATTTGTCAGTGTTAGCGCCCTGCGACTGAACTTGCCACGGAGCCCCCGTGAGTGTGGTTTGGTCATAAGAACCTGCGAAAAAATGACAGTGTAGGACATAAGTAGAATGTCATCTTCATCGTCGCGAACATGGCAAATGTTCTTTTCTTTTGTTATCACGCATCATACCAATGCCTGCATACTGTTCTAGTAGTGGCAGCAACGGCCCTACAGAAATGAGTTGACTGTACTCTGATGCATCCCAAGGGGGCGTTTCTAGTCTTTGAGAACCCCAAGTATCAACACCATCTTCGTGATTCATTCTTTTCCGCGTCTCGTTTCTGCCAATGTGCTCTCAACCACTATCTTTTCTAAAATCTGGGTGCTAGCTATCCGTTTGATTTGATGGCATCAGCCTCTACAATAGGATGGCAAGCAATAAGTTGACATGGTGGCAGTTGACGACAATGATAGGTGGCAACTGACGTTAGACACCAGTGGCAATTAATTTTCACCCCCCCCCCCCATTTATTCCAAATTTCTCAAATTTTCTATCCCTTTTTATGGATTCCTACACATCCATTTCATTTACCAACTACGTGCATCAATCTACTGAGAACTTACGGTTATCTTTAGCGTAGTACATGGCAGATCTAGCGTATTCTGCTTGGCAACTGTGAAGACACACAACCTATGTAGTGTTTTACCCCTGTAGGATGGATCTAGTTGCCACCTTCGTCGGTAATTTTGTAATTTTCTGCCCAGAAGAAGGATGAGAAGCAGTAGGGAGATCGGGAGATTCACCTGCTTTTAGCCGGTCGTCTTTGAAGGGCGTTGTTGGAGTGGGGGTGGGGGAGATAAGGGGTGTGGTTTGCGGTGGGAAGGCCCTATGGATCTGCTCTACGGATCTGCTCTGGTTGCCATGGCAACCAGAGAAGGCCGGCAATGGAGGCAGGGGTTCGGGAGGTGGGAGAAGATGGCGGCAGTCGGGATTGGGGATCGATCAGAGGCCGGGACGACTGGGTCGTGCGGGCTACTGGGTCCTCTGGCCCGGACTGCGGGCGGGGTTGCCACACATCAGACGTGCGAGCCGTGCCTTTGCGCGCCTGGACGCAGTCGTGCGGGCTGGTTCCTGTCCATGCCACACGAGACGTGTGGCACAACTATCCGATACACCACACGTGTGGCAGTTATCGGCGTCATTTTCTCTTGAAATAACGTCGACACTTTATAGATCAAATACAACATTACAAAGAATCTCCCGGACGCAATCCAAAGTAGAATGAAAAACGCACATAACTAACAGAATTTTTACATGACTGGCTAATACATGAGCCGCCACATTCAAATGCCGACGAATATGCTTGAATACCAAAGATGTCGATCGCATACTTAATATCACATGTTTAGCGATGAGAAGGGTTGTGAACAAATTCAGCGCTTGGTTCCTGATTCCTGGTATTAGAAACGGAAGTACCAACTGAATGCATCGGCATGTAAATACTTGGGAGCACACAGCAGGCACAGCAACTGATTGTTATTCATCTCAAGATTGATACAGATTTCACAAGCAAACGAGTTCATTATTCCCAAACCGACAGCACTCTAGGATCCAGATCAACCTGAATCCCCCCATCAGAGGCTCGCGGCCGCCGGAGCGTCGACGACGAAGTCCAGCACCATGACCTCGTCGAGCATGGGCCTGAGGGCGGCCTTGGCCTCCTCCACCTTGCCGTCGCCCTCCACGGCGTCCAGCTCCTCGACGCTGCCGAACACGGCCACCATCCCGAACTGGTACCCCTTGGCCCGCGCGGGGGAGAAGTTCTCCCCGAAGCTGACCTTGGAGCCGCTGGCCTCGCCGGCGTCCTTGGTGGCGGCGGCCACCTTCTCCACGAGCTGCCCGACCTCCACGCCCTCCTTGACCTTGGCGAGGGTGAGGCGCACGGCGGCGCCGGGGCCGACGGGGGACGGGGCGCCCGCGGCGTTGACCCAGTCGACGGCGGTGGCGTCGAGCGCGTTGGGGGCGACGTGCGCCTGCACGGCGGCGACGTGGGCCGGGTGCGGCGCGTAGGCGGCGAGGTCGGCCTTGGTGGCGTAGCGGGAGTGGAGGAGGTGGGTGGGGCCGAGCGCCTCGGCGGCCGGGGAGCGGAGGCGGAGCACGGGGCCCGCGTGGATGTAGGAGACCCCCGGGACGAGCGTGGAGAGCGCCTGCAGCGCGGAGACCATCGCGGCGGCCGCCCCCGAGGCCACGGCCTCCGGGCGGACCTTGATGAGCACGATGTGCTCGACCGGTGCCGCTACGGTGGGCGCAGCGACGGAGGGGGAGGAGGACATGGCGGCGGCGGCGCAGAGGACGGCGGAGGGCCTGATGCGGCGGAGCGGGGAGGAGGCGAGGCGGGGGAGGGGTAGGTGGAGGAGTCGAGGGGAGGGGATGGCTCTGAGGCAAATCATGGTTTAGTCAGTGCGAGGGGAGGAGGTTAAAATCGGGATGGGGCTGGGAGGACAGTGACGGATCGGCGCGGCATCACATTTGTGTGAGCCAAGATGGATTTTATAGTGGGTGGCGCCGTGGTGGATTCTTCTTCTCCGGGCACGAGGCGAACGGACTAGCACGGCGGCGGCTGCGGCTGCGCTGCATCGCCGGTCACCGGTGTGTGCACGACACAACATGGGCTCTGTTTTGGTGGACGATGACTTTGCTGAAAAAAGGCACACCGCCGGTGGTTTTCCTTCGGGAGCTGCAGACTGCCGGGAAGCTATCAGCGGAAGAAACTGGCATCCAGCACTGACGAGGTCAATATCAGCATGTACAGTCGATCCATGGCTCCAACAACCATGCGTAGGATGGTGCACTCCAGTTAAGAAAATGAAGCAGCTAATCTTACGTAAATTTACTGGTCGAAATGTTCAGTGCAGACATGTGGCAGGAATACATATGGGATACAGGCAAGCAGATCAGCAAAAGATGCGACCGGAAACAGGCGTGCGTACGTACAGAAAACAAAAAAAGAGTGCCACTGCTCAACTGGTCTATGATCCTAATCATTCATTCTTCTACCCTACAAAATTCACTTGTGTCCAACATTAACTTATCTGTCCGCACTAAAACTTATCTTTTGTTTAATTTCAGATTGGTCCTTGGTGCTACCGATGATCTCTACAGCCCGACTGTTCTTCAACTTCATCAACTGGTCTTCCATTCATCCTTCTTCTTTTGGTATAAATATGTCTTTGTCTTGGGGAAGGCATGGAGCCCGTGGGAGCTCTTTGCCCTACTGATTACGAATCTCGATAAGAAACCATCAGGCCATGTCATGTCTCCCGATAAAAGATGATCCCCCACAATGGATGTCAGGCGTTGGCTTTATAAAATCTGATTGGATCCACGCTAGAGGATATGAATGATATGATCCCTTGCTAAATGGTCTGCTAGAAATCTGAATGATATATACAAATTAAACTTGAATGGGTAATAGGAGTTCTGCATAGGGGGCATTCAGGCTTCTCATTGCACCACTCCATTATGCAGTTCCTGCAGGTTATGCCATGAGTTACCATACCATTCCAGAGAGGGTGCGAGGGATGAAACCCAGTTCAGTTAAAGACATAGCATTTGAAAGAGGTTTTACCAGCAGAAGACATGTCCGCAGGTTGTGCCAGTAGGATTCTGCCGGGTACTGAGACAGAGAGTGCACTTGCTCTTGCTACTGGATGCCTGACAAATGATACACAAAACATAAGCACCACACAATAGATCACATGTACAGTTTTTTTAAACAGGTGGTCTGAAATATATGCAATTCTAGCCATAATCTTTAATCTTGAACTGTAACATTTGTAGATTCAAGAGCTTGCTTTTGTCAAGAAAAATGCATTGGGAGGTACATCTGACGGAAAGCACAGTAATATATAACCGTCCACTTCCATACAAAGGTAAACATTTTAGTTTGGTTATTAATGGAGCGTAAGTTGGTTTTCCACAGTTCTAACTTCTAGGGTACACAAAAACAGCAATTTAAACTCAATAATGTTCATCTGAAGACACATACCTCTGAACCAGAAGCCAAATCTACAGCTTTGCCATGACGGATGTCACTGATAATATTTCCATCTTCATTCACAACAGGGACACTCCGACCTGGTTCACAGTTCACATGGGTAAGAATAGAACATCATCATATAGATATTTGCTACATTGTAAGAAAGCAACTCAGTGCTTCAACATAATAAGAAAAACAGGTATTGGTTCCACAAAAATAGCCATTTAAATAAACTCAGTAAAAGAGTGGACCTGTAGATGAAGGATAGCTTCCGGACGAAATTTGATTAATGGAACTAGCTATTGATGATAAGTTACTTCTTCGGAGTCTTTCAGCACCAAGAATACACAACTGGATCAGCAAAAAGATACCCAAAATTTGGTACCTGCAAATGTAGTGAATTAAACTTGATCATCTGGAGAATTTTAGACCTCAAAGGAAGATAGTGTGAAGATAGTCCAAAACACTAGAGACCATGATAAATTCCTTATCATTTACATTCTCAGATTCATTTGTGGCATAATATTGTGGGCTCATGGTACCAATGGCTCTATGATTTGTTTCTATGTGAGTTCATGTAGTTAGTCTTTTAGACAAAGTGAATAAGTACATAAAAAGGTACCTGGGCCTCTGATTCATTGGCTTACCAATGAATACATAATGAATACCAGCTCCTCGCTTTGATAAATGATAATATAATCCTATTAAAAAGGAAACAAAAGAAGCATAATCAGGCACCTAACAATTACTCCCTCCGTTCACAAATATAAGATGTTTTGGATATTTCAATATGGACTACATACCGACTGAAATGAGTGAACAAACACATTAAAATGCGCCTATATACATCCGGATCAGAAAAAAGTTAAAACATCTTATAATAGTGAACAGAAGGAATAGTACTCCCTCCGTTTCTAAATATAAGGCGTTTTAGAGATTTCAATAGGGACTACATATGGATGTATATAGACATATTTTAGAGTATAGATTCACCCATTTTGCTCCGTATGTAGTCTGTATTGAAATCTCTAAACAGTCTTATATTTAGAAACGGAGGGAGTAGTTAATACAGATCCAACTGAGGTGATAAGAGAAGGATAAGGCCGATCATTACTGAGCCACTGTTACCCCATTGGTTAAGGCTTGAAGGTAAATTGAATGGTGTATTTATTTTTTTGAATAATAGAACTGCACAGCAACTTAACAAAAGTGTCTAGGAATGTATCAGTGTGAGACAGTGTTTTGACATGCAACATAACCTCATGATAAACCGAGTGAGCTGAATTTGTCATTACGGGGTCAATCTGGGCATTCTAATTTATCTACTGTCCTCACAATAAATTCAGGTTCCATGACTTGGATGATCACTCAGTGTGAGACAGTGTTTTGACATGCAACATAACCTCATGATAAACCGAGTGAGCTGAATTTGTCATTACGGGGTCAATCTGGGCATTTTAATTTATCTACTGTCCTCACAATAAATTCAGGTTCCATGACTTGGATGATCACTAAGCAGGACATAAGAAAGAGAACTTCTCAGTTGATATTGTTACACCAACCCAAACTAACGATAAATTGGTCTACCAATATATCTCAAATAGATAATGATGTTAGTCACTTTACATATCATATTGAACATAAGATACCTTCAAAGTAGAAGAACATCAGGTTTGTCCGTATAGCCAACTGTATAAAATCTTGACCAAGCGGCAGCATCTAGGAACAGGTAAGACACGTCATATAGTTGTTTAGACAAGAAAAGCATCTCTTTAGTGTGAGAACTACATTCCTCATTTCTCAACGAGTAAATATAGGGAGGTTTTCTATATATAAACAGATTGCACATAAGAACTAGAACAATTGCGTACCGAAGGCCATTTCTGAACTACCCATAGCCAAAAGGCATGCGCTTTGCTTCTCAACCTCGAGAGCATGGGAAAACTCAAGCTTCTCGAAGACTCATTCGTATTTGTAGAGGATTCTGTTATGCCTCTACTAGGATTATCATTTTCATGATGATTATCAAACTGAGAGTCATCCATGTAAATACCACGGGAGACAATTCTCGAACTGTTAAACCGGTACGAACAGAAAATATGCGATCAGCTTCTTCCAGCAAAGAGAATGTTGGCTAAAGGACCGTATTTAAAACTGTTACTACCTTACCTGATTCTTTCAGCGAGATAGGGCACAGTAGTTTGATACAAAATGAAAAGCATCCGCCTAGCAGGTGTCGGTGGAAGCCCATGTGAGGTTGCAACCTGAACAGCTCAATCATAACATGGCCATCATCAGCATAATAAATTAATATTATTGCTTCACGAATCTAATGGCACAACTATTTTCTTCATCTCAAAATTTACAAGATAAAAAATAAATTTGACCATCTCACCGGTCATAACACTTGGTGTTCCATGTCTTTTGTTTAACAGGATCTTACATTAATTTGCTAATCAAAAGGTCCATCTAGTAAACTAATACAGTATCGTGTTTACCGTGAGATGAAAAGTAACCCTATATTTTACGTCGACGGACTTTTTTTTTCTTGTGATTTCTATGCAAAACTGAGACAAGGGTAAATTTCCAATGGCAACAGATGAACTATGGGCCAACAATATACTACCAGGTATAAATTGAAATAACTGGAAGCACACACTTAAAAGGTGGATAACATTTGTCCCCGCTGACAGAAAATAAAAACATAAACGGTGTTAAAGAACAAAAGGCAATATAACCTGAGATATATCACAATATTCTTCTCCGAGTGTTTGCTGGCCAGAACCAGTTGTTAGCAAGTAATAGAGGGACTGCCCAAGCAATTTTATCTGTGGAAGTTCAAACCAATGTAAGTTCTCGCCACCTTCAATAAATTACATGACAAAAAAGAAAATTGTACTACCTTTGTATCAAAATATAAGACGTTTTTGCGGTTCAAATTGAAGTGCAAAAACGTCTTATATTTTGGTACGGAGCGAGTATATATGAATGTTGGCACAGAAAAAAAAAATACAGAGAGAACAATACTCAAACCAATTCTCTATGCAATAACTGGTGGAGCTCACAAAGATAGGAAACACATCTCTTTTATCCAGCACGACAATCATCCTACTCTACCGAGATTACCGTACAAATGCCATCTTCACATTCTCCAATCAAAATGTAATATTAACTCATCAAGATTCAAGCGCCGTATATAAGATATAACAAATAAGCTTTCAATTCATACTAACCTGAAAAAAATCAGCTATCTGGAATATAATGTAGACTACCATATTTAGTTAGAACACCTTTTTTAGATGGAAACTTTTAACTCTTGGCCTTTATTCTTGTTGACATGCTCACTACCGCGCAATGTAAGTGGTTAGCCAAATTTGTCAGGCACTAGTGTTACAGCTACTGCCTCAGCAG